AAGACATTGCATCTGTGAAACAAGAAGAAGCTACTTAAATCCAATTAGAAAATGAGGGTAAACTCAGAGAGTAGAACAAAGTAACAGATGCAAAATAAGAAAATAAACATCATCAGTCGAGAACATCCAATATCCAAATAATGAGTCTTCCAGAAAGAGAAGAGAGAATATAGAAGGGAGGAAATCATGAGTGAAATAACTCAAGAAAATGCCCAGAACTGAATTTCGTGTTTCCAGATTGAAAGCACTCACACAGGATGAAAACAGATGTATACTACAGCAAATCTGTATGAGATTTAGAACACTGAAGGAAAAAAAACCTTACATTCTGGAAAGGGGTAGGGGTGAAGGGACAATTCATATACAAAAGATCCGAAAACAGAATGGCTTTGGAATTCTCAACAGCAACACTGCAAGGTTAAAGACAAGGAAGCAATGTCTTCAGAATTCTAGAGAAAATGATTTCCAACATATGACCACTTAAAATTTCAAGGATAATGGCAAAATAGTCTCAAAAGTAAGTTTCTATGCATCGTTTTCAAGAACTGTATATCTACCTAAATGAAGGAATAAGTCAAGAGAGGGAAATGTGGGTTATAGAGAATAGGAAACCAGGGGGAGAAGCAAAGGGAATCTTCAGGATCCTCTGGGCAGCAGGCAGAGAAAGGTAGCCAGTCCAGACCAGAGCAGTCTGACTCAAGAGGTGGACATCATGAGAGCTGTTTTCATAATACTTTCTGCCGTATCTTCTTTTTAACCAAAGAAACTACTTGAGAACATACTATTCCAACACATGGAAATAAATCACGAAGGAGGAAAGCATGAAACCCAGGATATAGGGAATGGGTCCCAGGAGAAAGACACAGGCAATTCCAAAGTTCGGGGCAAATCCAGATATACAACATGCTCAGAGAGCAGCAGTTCAGAGAAAACCGAAATCCTCAGGAGAGCAAGCCCTAGGGAAAGCAATTGGAGTGGCTGAATTACTTGATCCGAGTGGGCTTGTGGGAAATGTACTGTAGGAAGACAAGGAAAAAACTGGCAATAGATTAAAAAAAAAAAAAAGCACCAG